CAGTTAAACACATAATTGGCGATGATTATTTAACTTAGCCTCCTATCCAAACTTCTATAGCGGGGAAGCGCTTCTAGTTCTACTGCGAGCGGCTGGAGAGGCGGTTTCATTTTAAGGGGAGGGGGGCCTTGTCCGTGTTAAAAAGTTTTGAAAAAAATTATTTCACATGAACAAACAAAAAAACATTTCAATTCTGATACTTCTACATTAATCGAAGTCTGTAGTTCATTAAAAAAAAGAAGGGTCGCACTGCCGCGACAATACACTCCCACAGCGATATTGCCGTGACCAGGATTCGAACCTGGGTTATTGCGGCCACAACGCAATGTCCTAACCTCTAGACGATCACGGCGAGCTACATGCGACCTCGTTAATCGGCGAGTCAGAACTGTTCAAAGCTAAGAGAAACAAGAATGTTTTGAATATAGCTTCCTTTGAGAAAAACTGTTCACTTTGAGTTCTATCGTTTAAAAAAGAAAACTAACTACAGAATGTACAAACAAAAGCTAAGAGACCCATTTTAACTAACATTTAGAAATTGGTCTCGTGATAATTATGTTTTAGACCGCAAAATGCGCCTGATTTAAGAGTAGTGGCCACGGCTACTACGTAGTAAGTAAAAATTGTGTCAAGAACGGTAACAAATAGCTCGATCTCTTTGAAACATCTTTGTGTATCTGTGTTCTCAAGTTTTAAAAAGATGAGTACGGAATAAGCCGTTGCAATGGACATTTCTAAATCGGTCTAAATCTTGTAGTTGACTAAAAAAGCGACAATACACTCCCACAGCGATATTGCCGTGACCAGGATTCGAACCTGGGTTATTGCGGCCACAACGCAATGTCCTAACCTCTAGACGATCACGGCGAGCTACATGCAACCTCGTTAATCTGCGAGTCAGAACTGTTCACAGCAAAGAGAAACAAGACTGTTTTGAATACAGCTCCCTTTGAGAAAAACTGTTCACTTTGAGTTCTATCGTTTAAAATAGAAAACTGATTACAGAATGTACAAACAAAAGAACCATTCTATTTGACATTTCTAAATTGGTCTTGTGATGAGAGTTAAATATATAAGACCGCAAAATCCGCCCGATTTAAGAGTCGCCACGGCTGCTAGTAAGTCAAAATTGAGTCATAGGGATTCAAGAACGGTACTAAATTAATAGCTCCTTTCGAATTTCTTTTGTCTACATGTGTTCTAAAGTGAGTACAGAATAAGCCGTTTAATTGTAATGGACATTTCTAAATCGGTCTAAATCTTGTAGTTGACTAAAAAGAAGGGTCACACTGCCGCGACAATACACTCCCACAGCGATATTGCCGTGACCAGGATTCGAACCTGGGTTATTGCGGCCACAACGCAATGTCCTAACCTCTAGACGATCACGGCGAGCTAC